CCGTCTCCGCAGCGCGGCGCTGGAGCCGAGGCAGGAGAGACTTCGGGACGAACCCGGGTTGCAGATGCCAGCGCAGTGACGCCCCGCGAGGAGCCTGCGCCGCGCCGCCCGCCTGGGCACGGGTCTTCTGCCGGTCACAGATCCCTGCGGCCCAGCACGCGAGCGGAAAGGGGCCCGGCTCCCTGCTGCTCTGGGCTCTGCCCAGGGGCGCAGCCCTGGGGCGCGCCCGGCTCCTGCCAGCCGGTCCCGTTGTGCAGACACCAGTGCAACAGCGGGTCACCGCGGAAACGTCCGAGCCTGGGAAACGCAGCTTCTGGCACGCGTGGCGTGCGGAGGGGGCGGGGTGCGGGGGTGCCTGCGCCCACATCTGCGTTCCCAGGCGCCAGCCCCAGACAACACAGGGCCCGGGCACGGGGCTGCGGCCCAGGGGGGCCCACCCAGCCTCGCTCATTCCCCTCGCTGCAGCTCCATGTGTGCACACACACGTACACACACATACACAATATATGTATATATAGATCAGACACTTTCCAACAGAAGTGGCGGCTACGCGGCCTCTTTCCACCCGTAATTCAGAAAACAGAAGTGCGATTCCGTGAACGCGGCTATTTTCTGCTCAGCCGCGTTGCGGTCGCGGCTGCCAAGAAGCTGTCGGGGCGGCCGGGCTCTGCGCGGCTCAGCTCGGCTCTTTCCGAAGTTTGATTTTCCGGAACGAGGCCTAAAAAGGCGTGGGGCGGGGCGCCGCGCCGGATCCGCGCCTTATTCGGGCAGGGCCCACAACCGGAACACGCCGCGGCGCCTCCCACGGGCTTTTCCGAGTTCCGTTGACTGCGCTTGTTGCCCCTTGATAAAAGCGATGCGGGCGCCGGGCCGCCCAGCTCAGCCCAGTCCAGCCCGTGCCGGGCCGGCCCCGCGCAGCCTGCACAGGGGCCCCGCGTGCCTCTCAGTGATTCCGCCCGGCCCCGTTCCTCAGTCCTTATATGGGCAGTGACGTCCCGGGCATTCAGGGCCGCCCCATAAATACTTCCCGCCACGCTTCCCGTGGGCTGCAATTGATTACGAGCGCGACGCGGGCCCCCGGCTGTGCCCACAACACCACAGTGCGTCCCGGGGCCGCACAGGGCAGTGCCCGCGGCGGCGGCACCGGCCGCTCCGAAACAAGCCAATTTGGGTTTTTGTTTTTTTTTTTCCAGTGGAGGGAAAAGGCAGCCCTCACTCCGGCAGCGTTGGCACCACGGGCAGGGAGAGCTGCTCCGCGCGCGCCTCCTGAGCAAATGATGACGGCCAAGACTGTAGACAAAATCCCTGTAACTCTCAGCGGGTTTGTGCATCAGCTCTCCGAAAACATTTACCCTGTGGATGACCTGGCCGCCACCCTGCCAACCTCGGTCACGATCTTCCCCAATGCGGACTTGGGAGGACCGTTCGAGCAGATGAGCGGGGCGCCGGGAGGTAAGCACCAGCCCCCTTCCCGTTCCGCATGTGCCGCCTCGGGCTTGTCGCGCGGGGCTCGGGAGCTGCTTTAGGCGCAACGAACAGAAAACTAGGCGAGAACTAGACGAGATGTCGCTGGCTCGGGGCGGCGCGGGCCCCCGAGAAATCCCGGGGGCAGAAGGCAGCCGCCGGCTCTGCCGTGCCCGGGTGGCTCGCGGGCGCCCCGAGGCCCCTCTGCCTGGGAACGCTGTAAGGAATCAAGCCGTCGCTCAGATCAAGCGCAGAGCCCCGAGGCCGGAGAGGCATGTGGCGCCGGGCCCCGCAGGGCTCAGCCCCGGCCCCTCGGGGGCTCCGGTCGAGCGGAGGGTGGCGGGTGCTGATGGACCTTTCTCTTCCCCTCAGATGGCATGATCAACGTGGACATGAGCGAGAAGCGGGCTCTGGACCTGCCCTACGCCAGCAGCTTCGCCCCGACAGTCTCTGCCTCCCGCAATCAGACTTTCACCTACATGGGCAAGTTCTCCATCGACCCGCAGTACCCCGGCGCCGGCTGCTACCCCGAGGGCATCATCAACATCGTGAGCGCGGGCATCCTGCAGGGGGTCAGCGCGCCCTCGTCCTCCTCGTCCTCCGCCGCCTCATCAGCCTCGCCCAACCCGCTGCCGCCCGGCGGCGCCCTCGGCCGGCCCCCAGGGGC